ACCAGGGAATTCGGGACCTTGTGCTTGCGAGGCAGGTGGCAGAACCACTGAGCTAAATCCCCGGCCCAGTAATATTATCATGCTCTAAATCCAATTCATTTTGTGCTCTTAGATTCAGACTCAATTGCATCAAAAAATACTCAAGTTTCTAACTTAGCATAAAATTTCAGATGACACTCTGAAGAACTTGGCCCATTCTAATACTAAGAGTTAAACTCACATCTTTCTCTGAGAAGACTGTAAATGGTCCCTATCTGCTTGTAATTACAAAGGGATGAAGTCAAGACAGAGACTATTTATTTCCCATCCCCTGAAGTCCACTCTGTGTTTGGACACACTGAATAAATGAAATATAAAAAGTGACTTTGTTAGGTCTGTTCAATTTTTAAAGGGTGACAGTCACAAGGTTTCCCTAACTTTTGTGTCCCTAATTAAAATAAATGTCAGTATATCATTAAGAGAATAATAAAATTATTGATTTTTAGTTACCTTATTGAGCTCTGGAAACAGTTCTTGTATCACAATGTCCAATAAAACATAAGTAAGCTAGAGCATCAAAAAACAACAATAATACAATTTAAGACACTACAAAATAAAAATGACAAACACAAAATTCAAGATGGTGGTTATCTTTACATGGAAAGACAAGGACTAAGAATGCTAAAGTAAAACAAGCACGTAAGTAGCTTCAATAGTATCAATAATGTTCTGTTCTTAAAAGGCATGGAAGGCACACATGTACTTGCATGTACACATTTTATTATCTCTTTTATTTTTATTAACTCTTTTAGTTTATAGTTAACAAAAACCTTAAAGAAATGAGCAGAACACAAAATTGTCTGGGCTATGGTGGCACATTTCTGTAATCTCAGTACTTGCAAGGTGGAGGCAGGAGGATCCCAAGTTTGATCATAAGTTTCCTGGGTAACTTAATGTGACTCAGTCTCAAAATAAAAAATAGAAAAGGGTTGAGGATATAGCTCAGTGACAGAGCATCCCTGGGTTCAATCTCCAATATAGGGTGGAAAAAACAGCAACAACAACAACAGACGTCAACAAAATATATAGACTATACACAAAAAATGTTAATTACGGTTATTCTACACACTTTAAATGACAGAATTACCACATTTTAAGCTTTTACTTCATTTCTTAAATTATCTGTATCTCCCAAACTTTCTACAATGAATGTTACTTTTAAATTTAAAATTTTGTCATAAAAAACAACAAAAAAGATAATCAACAAAGAGTAACAAAAATAAAATCTTTTAATACCTGAATGTTTTTTCATTGCCTTTATGTAGTATAGTATCATTTACACAACCACAAACATACTAGACACCTACCATGTCATTCAACAAATCTAGCCAACACTACTTTACCAGCTTTAATTAATTTTACCTGCTTGTTGAGTACTGGTTGCTGTAAACCATCAAATAGAAGTCTGATGCTTTCATACTTTGTTTCTTCACCAATACATTTGACTATCAGATCTAAAGAAGAAAGCCACACGTAAAGCAATTTTTAAAGTGACTGGATCATAAAGCAAAATCACCACCTTGTTTCCCAGATACTGTACTATGCAAAAATGGTCTATTTCCCAAACCAGTGTTTCTGCAAGAGGCTCCTAGGAAAAAAGTTTTATGGTCAAGTTGAGAAATGCTGTGTCATGTACAGTATACCCCCATGAAGTTTCAGTTCAGAGTTTGTGGTCTCAGTCATTTGCAGATTTTTCCTTAGAACCTAACTAATAATTGTTCACGGAAATTGCAAATATCCTCCGGAACTATATTTTGGCAGGAGGTTTGCAAGTAGCTAATCCAAAAGTGTTATTCAGTTCTGCTTGCTGATGTCTGGATGCTGCTCTGTAACCTATCTCTGGCAGATGTACCAGCATTCCGACATCATTACAGGTTGCTGTACCACATGTCGTTATTGAGTGTTCTCAGTTTTGTTCTTCTTAAAGCCCTAAGATCCCTAAGATGCCGCCAAGATGCCCTTCCCCCTCTAAGGCTTTATTAATACAGCATTTTATTAAATTAAGTTACATAACTGTGGGAGACACAGCATATTTAAGATTTAAACTATAAAAATAGGCATTTTTCTGACCATATCTGAAATTTGCGGTTTTTCACAATTCACACGTGCTCTGGGAATGTGAATTTTGGGAGTCCACTGTTTCCCCTTTTGGAGATTCACTATGCACAAAGGATACTGGGAAGAATGTTGCAATAATAAATTCACTACTATGAATTGAAAAATAAACAAGAAATAATACACAAGGTATTATCCCATTAAGGTGCAGCAAAAAACTCTAAAATAATGTTTGTACATTTACACATACATACACAGAAATACACAGAAAAACATAACATCACCAAACTGGAGCATGAGTCCACTTCTATACAGCGGAGAGGATGCTTTCTACTTTTTATTCTGTATATTTTCATAGTCTTAATATGATTTTTAAAGAATTTAATGAATTTAAATGTTAAAGTACATCTGTCTTACATCATTCGTATCATTCCTGTTACCAAAAAATAGTCATCATTTATCATCATCTCTGTTTTCCCCAAGAAGGAAAAGATTATTTTTAGGTAAACAAAGTGCTCAAATATTTGTCCTTTCTCATCATAACTAAATTCTTAATGCTATTAATGGAAAATCCTCACTTTATGCTTCGTTTTATAAGGCAAAACTAAAGAGGCAAAGGCCAAATTCAATTCTCATATAGATCTTGTATATATTTTGTTAAATTATACCTAAATATTTCATTTTGGGAGTACTTATGTACATACTGTTTTCAATTTCAAATTGTACTTATTTATTGCTAGTACATAGTGAACTTTTTATGTATTAATTTTGTATCCTTCAAACCTTTTATACTTGCTTACTAAAATCCAGCATTTTTGTGGATTCTTTCAGATTTTCTATATAGACAATCATGTCACCTAGGAATGAAGGTAGTTTTATTTCTTCCTTCACAACTTATATCCCTTTACTTTCTTTTCTTGTTTTGTTACATAAGCAAAGACTTTTCGTGTTGAAAGGCAGTGGTGAGAGGAGATATTTTTCCCCATGTTTGGTCTTTCAATGAAAGCTTTGAGTGTTTTGCACCATTAAGAATGTTACCTGTTGGGTTTTTGTATGTACTCTTGAACAAGTTAAGGAACTTAATCAGTTTTTTACCATAAATAGGTTGTGAATTTTTATCATGGATACTGGATTCTGTCAAATGCTTTTTTTGCATCTACTGAAATGTGATTGTTTCCTCTTTTGCCTATTGAGGTGAACTGCACTGATTTTCCTATCTACCAATAAGCCCACAAAGGGCATTTTCTGCATTTATTTCTGTTGTGTTTTTAATCTCAGCTTACACTCTCCATCTATATTCCTATTGCTAATTACCTCATTCACTAGAACCTTTAGAATCTTATTCATAGTTGTTTTTAAATTCCTCGTCAATTAATTCTAACATCCCTGCCACAGCTGAGTTTGGTTCTGATGCTTGCTTTTGTTTCTTTTGCCTTAACAGTATCCTTTGTGAATTTGTCTTACTAGTTGGACAAGACACACTGGGCATAAGAAACTGCTTGCTGCAAACATGCCTTTAGCAAAGTGGAGATAAGTTTTGAAGGAAGAACAAGGGTTCTATAGTCCTAGGAATAGGGGTTAGTCTTCTGAGTTTGAAACACTGGACTTTGAACTTTACATGCTTTTTTCATCCCCTTAAGCAGGACAGAACAGCTAGAGTAGGACAAAGAAGGCTGGGGCTGGATGGAGTTAGGTATTTCCTTTCCTCCAGGTCAATTATACTCTGTTTAGTTTCTCTAAAAAAAAAGAATGCTCTAACATAATTGAAATGGTTATTTTCCCCCTCTGCCATAAGGGGACTTTTCTCTGGTAAGTTCTTTCTCACTTTGAGAACTTAGTCAAGACCCTAGAGTTAAAATTCACAAAAGTATGGGGCCCTCTGTTGATCTGGTTCTTGTGCAGTTTCTAATCTATAAGACCTGTCAGTACAGTTCAAACAATTTGTCAGTTGTAGTTCAGATTTCCTTACTTTAGCACTGGTTCCCACAGAGGTTTGTGTTCATGTGTTTCTACTGCACCTAGCTAAGACACTCTGTATTTACCCTTTGGTCTCTCAAATTTGGGACAGTGGAGGTTTGCCCTGTGATCCCATCTCTCTATGACCTAAGTGTTGATTTTTTCAGTTTGTTCAGCTTTTTACTTGTTACTAGGACAGAGTGGCAACTTCCAGATTCTTGCATAATGGACTAAAAACTCAAGTCACTCTCTTCTCCAATTACTCTATACTTTTCTCCCTGGGCATTAGTGTCTACTCATATATGACTCTCCTACCTCTACAAATCTACCCTATACTACATTTCCTCCCTCTTTCACAGCTAGATAATTAGTTATTTATAAGACAGGTTCCTCTTGGATAACTTGCAGGCACTTCACATTTAAAATGTCCTAGAACTTCAAAGTTATTGAGCTGGGGAGATGTCCTAAATTAAGTATTCTCTGCTTTGACCAACTCCTTGTTATTTCCCTCTTGTATTTCCCACGTCACAGTGTTTACCACCAGTTTACTTAGTGGCTCAAATGTACCAACTTTAAAAGAGAGGAAACCCTATTCTTCCTTAGTGTTATCTCTATAACCTGAATGTGCTTGCATTAACATATGTGTTTTATCTAAATGTCTGTCTTCCTAGTAGACTGAGCTACTCAGGTGCATTTTTTATAACCCTTGCATTGCATTCTGAACAGTTCCTGGATCACAGAAAATATTCAATAAATTTGGAATAAATGAATTCTAAACTTTTAGTCATGTACACTAATACAGCTATTGTCATGGTATAGCGGGCGGTATGACTCCAATCATCCCATGACATGTCACTTTAACCAATTTGATTATGAGTTATTGTTTGTTTGTTTTTTGGTATGGGGACTCAAACTCAGGACCTCGCCCTTGCCAGGCAGGCACTTTGTTGCTGAGCTAAATCCCCAGCCCTTGTAAGTTACTGTTGAAAGAATCTGGCTATAGTGTGAGAAGAAACAGCCTTGTCTTAAAGTTCTTAGTGGCACCATGAAAAGAAAAATTGTATTTAGTGAGTTAATTTTAATTGGTCAATATAACTATTTCAAAAATGAAATCTCACAGTAAAACTTAGTTTCTTTAATTACTATACATTGTACCTCAAAGGAGCAGCTAATTTATTAAGTTACTTAAATACTGCACCTGGAATGTAATTCATCATTTCTTCAAAAGTCTTTTTTGCTGCTTTTTGCTTATCTTGGAGAGAGCGAGGTTCGGTGTTTTCACAGAATATAGCATCTAAAAAAAAAGTATAGAAACAAATATTTCTGAAATATTCTTTTACTTGTATTTCCTCATAATAGAAATGCTAATAAACCGAAGAAAAACAAGACTTCTTACTGTTTTAAACCCAATGAAAACCACTAAGTATACAAAAACATGAAACAAAGATGTGATAAAATACCTCTGAGCAGTGTTATGAGTGAAACCAAACGATGCTCCTGAAATAGCTGTTCTAGTTTACACTGAAGATAGTAGTCAGTATACATTTCCAGGGTGTTTTTAAAGAGGATTCGAGCTCCCATTAATAGATGATGAAGCCAGTCAGGAACCTGGAAAACCACCCGTCCTGAGAAGAATCAATTGAATACCTTGTTCAAGATAAATAGATATTTTCAGTATTTTGCAATATAGAAAATACAAATAACAATGGTCAATGTTTTATTTGTAAACACTAGTAATCTGAATATGTTCACGACCAACTGTATTCAATTCTTATAAATGTAGTATCTTCCAAGTTAAAAAAGGAGAAATCAAGCAATTTCCATCACAGAAGAAGTAAGACAGATAAATGAAAAACAAGTTTTAACATAAACCACTTAGATCTTACCTACATACATCAGGTAATCATAGACTCCTTCTATAGTCATCACCTCCATAAAATAATTCTGATTTTGTTTTCTCTCTACATTCTCAGCACGGTTTGCATTATTCTTAAAAAGATCATTGAAAAGCTAAAGTAAAAGTTGAAATAATAAAGAGATACATAGTTTATTGCATCTATTGATGATAATCACTTAAGGCTAAAGTAATTCAGAACAAGGGCATTTAATTGTTTACCAATTAAAGCAGTAACAGGTTAAAATCTGCTTCCAAAATTCCTCATTTATACCCCAAATTTCATAAAACATACATATTCCTCCCAAAATACTACATAAAAACTTGCATTCACTTTAGACACAACAGATAATTCATTATGCATAAAGAATCCTCTCCTTTGTTTTTATACACCAAAAGAAGCAAAATAATTTATTAAAATGTGTAAATATTCATACCTAATTTTAATACCAACATGACTTAAAAATTATAGGTCACTGGGGCCAGGGATTTAGCTCAGTGGCACCATGCCTGCCTCACAAGTGCAAGGTCCTGAGTTCGATCCCCAGTACCAAAAAAAATATTTGGGAAATAATATTCAAAGCTTAGAAAGGCCTAATCAATGTGAAAGAGCAACATATGAAGAATTATTCATAGTAAAAAATGATGAAATACAACTAAATCTCAGCCCTCTCAGCCCTACTTACCCCAAAATATGCAGTTTATTACCAGTGATAACCAAATATATCTTCGGTAACTAATTTTAAGAAAAGCATTATTTTATTCATTCATACATAAATTCAGTAAACACGTATTAAGTATTTTCTATGTGCAAGATAGCATGTAAAGGGCAAGGAATACAAAGATAAGGCAGAAAATTAACATCTAATAGAAAGAGGCCAATAAACAAATGAAATGACATAAAACACGCACTGTAAGAGAAATAAAAGTACAGGAGACTGTAGAAGAAAGTGTATTTAATTTTATCTAAAGAAAAAGTTTTTAAAAAGGTTTCTAAGGCTGAATGTGGTGGCACGTGCCTGCAATCCCAGCACTCAGGAGGCTGAGGCAGGGGGACTGCCATGAGTTTGAGGTGAGAGGAGAGAGAGAGAGGAAGTGAGCAAGCTTCCTAGAAAAGTTTCAAAAGAACAAAAAACATATATTCTATAGGCTCTTGTGTTAGATATTCTTTACCCAGAGGTATAAATTTAAAACATTTTCCTCAACCCAAGAAATATGAAAAGGGCTCTCTCTCCTGATAAGTACCCCTATTCTCGTATGCTTTTAATATTTTCATTAGAGAACAGTAGTAGTCTAGAAAGAGAGAAAAACAACCTAACCACCTAATTCTGTAGCTACTATACTTTTGTGTATTCCCTTTTAGTCTCTGCCTAAATAGCTATAATCAATGGGGTTCAAAAATAGTATTTTCTACTTCTTTCACTTAGAAGCACAACTATATTTATTTTACTTTACAGTTTGCCTAAGTATAATCTACATGCTGTAAAATATTCCTTGAGCAGATACTCAAGATAATTAATCATTTCTATATTAGTTTCGTTGTTTTCAACTGTTTATTTCTATAAACAATAGTTTAATAAATACCTTCATATAGTACAGGTACTTCTATTAGATTATTTTTTTCTGACAAATTCCTAGTACTTGGTACACCAGCTCAAGGAGTCTAAAGACTTGATAATTTGTTATAGAGTACCAAATTCCTTTCCCTAAAGGTTGGGCTCATTTACAAGCCATCTGCAAAGTCAATTTCCATTTTGATCAAACTTTCAAAAATATTTTGCAGATACAGTTCTTATGTACTAAAATTCACACTCTAGTATAATTCTTCTTTCCTTACATTTCCCTGGGGGTAATCTTGGTAATCCTACCCACCAGATCTTTAAAATTCCACCACTCACAAAAAAAGTATGCATATACACTAAAGGCCACCTAAAGAATTTAAGTACCTCTTACATCTTTTCAAACAGTTCTAAATTTCAACATAAGGTATATTCGTAACAGTCCTGAAACACAAGACAAATATTACTAAAATGAATTGCATCTATGTCTATTTCTTGGGAGACAGAGCTATTATTGAAATGTTCTGAGACTTCAAGATCCACTTAAGATGATGCTTGAGCAGAGGGGAGAAAAAATTAAAGCCCAAATATCAATTTCTTCTAATTTTTTACTAATAATTATATTTAATGGAATTTTTGTGTTCAGTGAAGATAAATGTAAAGGACCACTAAAGAAAACAAAATGCCTGCTAAAAGAGACACTGCACAATACAAAAACAAGATGGGCCACAAATCCTTTAATGATTATATTTTTCAGAACACTAGATAGGTTACCTTCTCTGGCTCCTCCCTACCCTATGGCCTGTGCCTGTGTACACACTTACTGCTCAAAAACCTTTAGTACCAAGCAGTATTTCATAATGCAATAGATCAGACCTATTTGCTGTTGTGCCTAAAAATGTCTGTAGAATAAACCACAACCTAAAAAAATAGTACACTTGGCAGAAAGTTTTTGAAAATTCTAAAGTTAAAAAGTCTGAATAAGTTTAAACAGCAGACCACACGTTATGAAGCAGGTAGAGCTGAAGAGAGATCAGGAAAAAAAAAATAGAGATAGACCAGGAAGTAGTGGAAAGAGACAAGACAAAAAATATGGGACAAGGTTAAAAGATAAGGAAAACAGAAAAAAAAAATTAAATTAGAGTTTTAGATGATAGGCATAGAATAGAGAAAAGGCAGTATCTATAAAGGTAACAGCTGAACATTTTTAAAACTTTGGTTAAAAAAAAATAAGATAGACTAATAAAGTAACTCTGATGACCATCCTTCTCCATAGCTACATTCCTGTAGAGTCTCCTCCATCGCAGTTTTGGGCTTGGCTCTTGACTTAATGGCTCTTTAATACAACAGGCAGTACCTTCTTGTTGTTTTCTGAAGTAGGGCTGAGAATGGTCAGTTCTGGTCTACTTGGTTTAGGCTTTGGAGATTCACAAGAATTAATGAAATTCATGATGAAAGGTTCCAAATGCTGACCTTTCTGTGGTGACAGATCATTGTAAGGAAATTGAAAATCAAGATTAAGAATTTTAGTATCACATAACCCAAAATTTATGACTATCATGTTATAAATACACATAAATCATTTATTCACCTCTTTCATTAGTTTTCCAGGAACAGACTTTATAATTTTCCCTGCAATTAAAAATAAAATATTAATTTTATGACGATATATTTTATAATTGCTTATGTAAATATTTCCTTAGGTAATTTTAAATAGTAAAGAGCCAGTGAAATGTAAAGCTATGAAAAAAATTATAATTGACTTTTTACACTCAACAGAAATTTATAATAAATGTTTATACGTACATGTGAGATTTACTTTAAAATAATCTAGTGAAGTAAGAAGTGACAGAAGGGATGGAACAAGCCAAGTAATGGTAACTGTTGAAGTAGAGTGAGGAATTCATTACACAATTTTCTCTACTTTTCTGAATATTTGAAACTTCAATTTTATAAATTTTCAGGGCCGGGGATGTAGCTCAGTGGCACCTCGCCTGCCTAGCAAGCGCAAGGTCCTGAGTTCAATTCCCAGTACTGGAAGATAGATAGATAGATAAATATTTTCAAAAGATTTTAAATAACATTGAATACATAATGATATCTAAAAACATACAATAGCTTTTTTAAAAGTTAAGAATTTATAAAACATTTAAACTATTTTAATAGGTTCTATTCCAAATTTTCAGAAGAAAAATTTCTATTTTAATCCTGTTTATCTGGCTTTTTAATCTTTTTTTTTTTTTCCATACTGAGGATTGAACTCAGGACCTTGCACTTGCAAGGCAGGCATGGTGTCACTGAGCTAAATCCCCAGCTTCTTAATCTTATCTTTAGGTTCCCTTATTATAAAATACCAAACATCTTAAGATTTTCTCAAGTGTTTAGAAATGACATAACAACAAATCAAAACTGATAAACACAACTTAAATTTCTTTCAGCTAAATTTAGCAAAAAGTAGATATAGCAATAGTAGGAGACATTAATAATAAAAAGTAAAACTACTATTTCATGCAAACTACCCAAATCTCTTACTTGGCTATTTTTGGTTCTCATACTCCTAGTAATACTCCTTATCCCCTCGGAATGTCTCCAAATTCCTTATATTACAGGTTTTATCTATGCCCTTCTCTATGAGTTTAATTATTTGCTCAATGTGATAGCAAGTAAAACTCAAATCTCTAATCTTTACTCATTTCCCAGCCTCTCATGTCCTACAAAATTTCTTTGACTGGATACCATAAACTCAGTAAGTTCAACATGACTTTTAATTTACCCTCATCTCAGCAAGGAGTAACATCCATCTAGTTGTTTAAACAGAAACTTGAATGATCTTTCATCATTTTTCACCTTCAATCAAACCTACTTAGTACCCACGTCTACCCAATTCTATTTCCTAACCACTATACACAACCAAAATTACAGCAAAATGTTCTGTTTCCCCTGATAAGAAGGCCACACAGGGCCAGGGATTTAGCTCAGCAGTTCCGCCGCGTGCCTCGCAAGCGTAAGGTCCCGAGTTTGATCCATAATACCAAAAAATAAAATTTTTTTCTTAAAAAAAGGCCACACATACCAAATACTTTGGATTAACTAAATGTGTTAATTTATGGGGACCAAATGGAAGCCAAACACCTATGTGTAATATCATTTTTTTTCCTATGTGTAATATCTAATCCACTGACTTAAGTTTCACATGCATACTTTATATTATGTAAAATATATGGAAAATATTGCTTTTTGTCTCATTTTAACAATTGTATTCAAAGCTTTCCAGCTTATATTAGTTTTGCCTATTTTGAACTTCACATAAAAGAAATCATGCTATATTTATTACTCTGTGCTTGTTTCATTTGGCTTTTATGTTTTTAAAATTCAACTACATTCTTGCAAGTTGCATTAAGCTACAGGTATTCATTGCTGCAGGTATTCAATTTTATAACCATTCTATCTATCCATTCTTATACTAATGAACATTTGTGCCGTTTCTAGTCTAAGCTACTACAAAGGTGCTGTGAACATTTTTAAACATAGATACAAGATTTTCCAGAGTATACATTTCAGAGTCTTACTAGGCCATTCAGTTTTTCTACTAAACTATTTTTCCAATTTATATTGCAATCTACATACTACAAAATGGTTTTACAAATTTAAAAATTTTGAAATTAATGATCAAAATTGTATTCACCTAAATTATTTTTTAAATTATCAATGAAAGAAAAACAAATTTAAAAATACTATGATTCAAAGCAGAAATGTTTCTATATACCCTATCCCATGTGTACATTCCATGCCAGGGTCTTCTAGCCAATTTGATAAACTTTAAATAAAATTCATGTACTGAAGTATCTTGGGAAAAAAATTTGCTTACCGGAATCACTACTACAAACTACCCAAAGAAGATCAGGCTTTAAGAAATATTTATAACATTTAAAATACAAAAGAAGGAAAGATATAACAAAGATGAAGGAAAAAGCAGATGAGTCTTAAATTAAGTCAAAGATCTGGTCTTTTTTCACATTTTATGAGAAGTTTCAAATACCATATCTATTAATACAATATATGCTAAAAATACCTTCTCCACTTTCTTACCTAGTTATACACTGATTAATGACAAGGGTAAGTTCTGAGAAATGTGGGTGAAATTAGGTGACTTTGCTGTTGTGAGTTCATCACAGAATGCACTTACACAAATGAAACACTTTTTTTTTTTTTTGGTACCAGGGATTGAACTCAGGACCTTGTGCTTGTGAGGCAGGCACAGTGCCACTGAGCTAAATCCCCGGCCCTCACTTACACAAATTAAGATGGCTACAAAGTCACTAGGTAATATATTTGTATATGACTACCTACATATACATTGTCACTGACCAGAACATTATTACATGGCATGTGACTGTATTTACATTTAGAAAATAAAGACAAAAATATATTGGCTAATAGTAATGTTCTTAATTATATGATCAGAAGTGACTGCTTAAAATAATCAGAACTCACAAAATGGACAGGTTAAAGTCATCAACAGACAACCTGTCTCCAACTGGAAAAATAAATCTACAATTTACCACATGGCCATACCATAGAAACTGTTTTTCTAAATTAATTAGAAAATACTGGGCCAGGGATTTAGCTCAGTGGTTCTGGCGCCTGCCTCGCAAGTGCAAGGTCCCGAGTTCGATCTCCAGTACCAAAAAAAAAAAAAGAAAATATTGATTCAGTTTTAGTTCATTCTCATATATCTTCCTTTCAAATGACTTACCAAGATTTACATCTGGTAGTATCTTATCAAGAAATTGTGTTTCCCCACCATTAGGGGAGAGAAAATCTGCCAAAAGTTGACTATTACTCAGTTCTGGATGTTGTAGAAGTTTCTTAAATAAATAAGAATAAAAGAATAGGTTAGAGATCTAGAATGGTATTCAAAACTGTACAGTAATGTACAGTTTTGAAATAAATAAAAACAAAAACAATTTTATATCAAAACAACTTAAAATAATAAAGCTATTAGTTTAATATTCCAAATAACAAAATGACTGCATGTATACAATAAATAGTATTGCACGGTAGGTAAAACCTCGGTGTTTACAGTCAGAAACATTTGGGTCTGAATTCTGGCTCTTCTCTTTGCTAGCTAGATGAGCCTAGAAAAATTACAAATTGCCCAAGAGTCAGTTTCCTAACCGGTAAAATGTGGATGACAATACTATCTATAATGTTGTTATATAAAGCATTTATAGTATTGATACAAAGGAAGTAAAATACTATTTCTCAGTTTTCATTTATAAAATGAGTATTACAATACAATACAACTCCCTTGACATTTTAAAATGGAATCCAGGACCTCTGCACTAAGCTACATCACTGGCCCTTTATTAATATTTTATTTCGAGACAGGGTCTGTTATTAAATTGCCTGAGATAGATTTGAACTTTTGATCCTCCTGCCTCACCCTTCCAGATTGCTGAGATTATAGGCACGTGCCACCACTTCCAGGTTCCTTCCTTGATAATTAAGAAGTTAGTATAAAGAGTTTCACAGAAATTAAATGTACTTTAAAAAAAGAAAATTAAATGTACAATGTGAAAAAAAACTTGGAAAATCTGCCTTCTATTCTTCAAACACTATTTTCTAGCAAGATAAACTAACTTTTAAAAGCCAGATTTGACCCAGTCTTACCTAACAGTTTTGCAGAAATGCTTATGAGCAGAAATCTACATAAACAAAATACCAGTAGAGCAACCTCTAAGCTCTTATTACAGAAAATATCACTTCTAGAATGAGGTTCTCTAATTCTTAGAAAGAATTAGCTGTTTAAAATAATGGTTAATAATATCAATAAATCTCTGCACTAGTTAACAGTTATTTCACATTTCAATTTTCACACCACCAAAGAGTTATACAGAAAATACTTCTGAGTTGAAAGCATTCAACGATTCAGATACAAGAAATTAAATATAAAGACCTCTTCACATTGTTGAAAAATTTTAATTCAAGAAGTATTTATTCTTGGTAAGGAGGCATGCAAATTTAACTGAATTAATACTTGAAATTATAAAATGCATGCACAAATAAGACTCTTTAATCCAGTAAAAATATTTTCTCTTTGGGCCGTGGATTTAGCTCAGTGGTTCCACCGCCTGCCTTGTAAGCAAGGACTTGAGTTTGATCCCCAGTACAAAAGAGTAGGAAAAATATTTTCTCTTTGCTCTTATGCACTTAGAAATATGATCATTAATTTTGGAAAGCCAGATATCTCAAGTAATGTTTAAGTTAACTGTACCACCCACTGAAATAATACACCAATTACACTGCTTACCCAAAATGATGTAAATACACTAACAAAAATAGAATTTATTTCAAATGGTTGATCCTAGGAAACTGATAAAATATCTATGATATAAACTGCAAATGCAAAGAGATTAAAGAATACAATGACAAAGAAGATTCCAAAGTTCATAAAGTACTACACACAAAATCAAACAGGAAACAAAACAAACTGAAATAACAAAAGCTACCCGTTCTTAGAATACATTCTTTTAATCAACAGTTCTTTTTTTAAATCTCCCACACCAAGGTTTTTTTTATTTTTTGTTTTTTTGGAGACAAGATCTCACTATGTAGTTCAGGCTGGCCTTGAATCCAATAAGTAGTTCTAGCTGCCCTCAAACTCATGGTGATCCTCCTGCCTCAGCCCTTTCAGTGCTGGGATTACACACATGTGCCACTATGCTCAACTATAAAAATAATTTTTTAAAAAGAATTGACATGGACAGTTATTTATAAATCAAAGCAAAGAGACAAACTTGAAAATACTATGATTAGCAACGTTTTAAATTAAGTAATAAGTTGGTGGCATACCTGTAGGTATTCCTGAAATTCTTCTCTCTTTGACTTTAAAAATTCATAATTTTTGGGGCCAATGATCCTCTTGGATGGAAGCTGGGCATCAGGAAATGTGCCTAAAATTTGTACATATTAAAGTTCTTACTATGTTCTGCTAGTATTTTGAAAACCTAATTATAAATTTACTATGGCAAATCCAAATTCATAACACTGCTTTGTAGAAATGTGACATTATCTTTTTTTTTTTTTTTTTTTGGTACTGGGGATTGAACTCTGGTCCTTGTGCTTGCCCAGCAGGCGGTAAAACCACTGAGCTAAAACTCCGGCCCTAGAGATACAAAGCCAGCATTGCACCTAGCCAAAGCAGCACCTCTGTGGAGTTTTATTGGTTTTGTTTGTTTTTTGGTACCGGGGATCGAACTCTGGACATTGAGCTCGTGAGGCAGGCGCCGGAACCTCTGAGCTAAATCCCCGGCCCATCTTATCTTTTAATCTTTACAAAATCAGAGAGCTTCAGATCAGAAAGTCAGACAAAAAACTTTAATGTACTGAAACCAAAATATCACGCCTCTCTATAACCACTCTTCATTGACAAAACTGGTAGCCTTCTACAGTAGTAAAACAGCTTGAAAAAATTATCAAGAAATTGATGGGATTCTATTAGACAAAATCTCAGAAATATTCTCTCATGAGAGGAAAATGGGCAGCATTCTGTCAATGTTATATATGCTTAGAAACAAAATTTAAAAGCCATGAACATGCCTTCTTAAATATGGCTGACAGTGGAAATTGTGATAACAAAAAGACAATAATTTAAAATAGACAAAATTTTAGTAACAAAGAGCTGTAATCCAACCATCTTTGGTAAATCCAGGATTTTAAAAATCGGAGATTAAATTATCTTAGTCTTAAACAAAAAAGAAAAACTCTGAAAGAACAAGACAGACCATGCTCCACCAGACTGGCAGAGAGAAAGAGAATACCATTTGAAAACAAGTACAAATGTAAAAACTATAGAACAAGACTTTGTATTCTTCACTTTTCTATAATAGTAATGTTCTCATTGGCTTTGTTTCTAAACATGTTTATCAAGGAAGATGATAGTAAAAGAACAAAATAACTCTGAAATGCCTGGTTTAATAAATTATCTGCCAAAAAGAAATTAAAAGTAAGTAAATCTGCCACATCAAGATAAACAAAAATAAAATTGAATACAGGACATTTTCTAAAGTATAAAGAAAGTTATCTTTTAAAATTAATTTTATTATTAAGTAAACATCCTTAAAAATAAGGAAGGAGATTAAGGGAGGAAGGGGGAGAGAGGGAAGGGAAAGGGGATGGAAAAGGGAATTAAGATGTTATGTGCATGTACCAACTTCCCACAAGGAATGTAAACATGATGTACTACAGACATGTACAAATTTTAAAAGAAGATTCTTCCATGGAGTTTCCCTTTAAAAAGAAAGGCAATGTGCACTTCAAAAAATTTATAATCAAAAATTTAAAAAATAAAAATAGTACACTCCTATTAACAATCCAAGTATATGCAACTGTCATTATTACATTTCTTTGGTACAGTTACTTAAATTGAACAAAAATTTAACTTGGTACAACAGCTTTCAAGAAGGCTAATGCTGAATTATAATGTTTTATATAAAAAAGCACAACATACCGTGAAATTCTGTTAGTTTTGATTCAAGAACATAGAATTCAAGGTATCTTCTATAAACAGACCAATGTTCAGGCTCATGCCCAACTGCAAATTGAATACACACTGAGTAACAAATAATTTTACAACCCACTACTAAAAAGATACAATACTTAAAACATAAAGTAGGACATTATTCCACAGTCTTAATAATTTATTATTTTGGACATATTAACATATTTTACCTTATTTTTAATTTTAAATTACTACATAGAAGTGGCATTTCATATATTTCTTATCTTATATGGAAGATAAATGTCATATATTTATGAAGCTATCTCAAGCAAATTTTTCTACAGGAGAATCAGAGACCTGAAACTTTTAAAAAATTTTGTTACCAATAAAAGGATCAAAAAAAAAAATTAAAGAAAAATTTTTATGTAACTTTGTTGTTGTTGTGTTTTGTTTTTAATGAGACAGGGTTTCACTATGTTGTCCAGGTTGGCCTTAAACTTGTGATTTTCCTGCTTCAGCCTCTCAGGTGGTAGGATTATAGTTGTGTGCCAGCATGCCCAGCACAATTACTATGTTTTACATGTCACCAAAATGGTGTATTTCATAAAAATTTATAATCAGTTCTGAGTCTCTTAAATATTTACTAAATTGTCCTCATCTAAGAATACAGAAAGCACTGTCCAATAGAACATTCTGGAATATGTAAATATTCAATATATCTGTACTAAATAGCTGCTAGTAGTCATATACTGCCTCTGAAATGTAGCTAGTGCAACTAAGAAACTGAAATTTTAATATAATTTAATTTAAATGGATACATACGATAATCACTAGCTACCAAACTGGACAGCACAAAGTAACAGTTTAAAGAATGAATCAGGTCAGATTGCTTCTTCCAATCCTAGTTCCCTCATTTGCTATGTGGCCTTAAATAATTTAATCCTAAATTTGCTTAGATGTGTGATAAGAATAACTGCCTATCACATAAAAAATAGTTGACATAAAGTATCTTTATATAGTACATAGCAGAGAATCAGCACCCCCAAAATATAACTGATATGATTTGCAACTCATGCCTTTCCAGCACAGATCTGAGAATGCAACTGATCAAATCAACTAAAGCCAGGACAACTGCAAAACAATACTTCTATTCAGAAAAAAACAAATCTGATGTAGACACAACCTATAAAACAAATCCTAGTTTTCTTCTTCAACAAGTGGTCTTAAAAGATCTATGTATATTTAGTCTTGGCATTTAAAATCCTGAAAATAGGGGCCTGGGATTTAGCTCAGTGGTTTCACCGCCTGCTGCGCAAGCACAAGGACCCAAGTTCGATCCCGGTACCAAAAAATAAAAAATAAAAAATAAAAAAATAAAATCCTGAAAATGTTATTTTACCATACATATAAAATCAACCTAGTAAATGCTATTTTTTTTCCTCCCTCACAGGCCAATTTCCTAACAGCATGTTACACTGACAGCAGAATCTGCAATGCCAACAAAAATTATCTTTAGAATACAAATTTTAAGACTTAATTTTAATTTTAGGTATAAATTTTTAAGTCAAATCTTTTAAAATAAAGCACCAAAATTAGAGATGTTGACTAAAATACAAAAACAAAAGTATATTCTCGAAAAAACTTGAAATCAGACTGAAGTACGGACAACTGATTTGCTGTACAACTATTTGCTGCACATCTATTTGCTGCACACCTAGGATGCTGAGAGAATGGCAACTGTTGCAAAATCAAGTACTGGTGCCTCAGACCCATTTCAGTAAGACCCTTGCTAGTGTTTAGTTCTAAAAGGAAAAACCATAGCTAGCTGCTCTGGGCAACCTTCCTTCCATATTCCTATGCTTTATGTTCTTGAAATAGGATTTGCTTCTAAAAAAAAATCAAAAAATTTAATACCTTTTGAAAAATAAGGAGAATGATTAGCACCGATCTTCATACTATCACTTAGTTTTTAGTCTTAAAACCATTTCCTAGCATTATCACTTTTTTCTCCTTTCTTCACAATTCCTAAAATATGCAGGGACTTCAACTGTGCTCTTGCTTACACTGACTGCCCTCCTCCTAGACAAAGTCCAGAATGATAAAAGTTTATTCTGCTATGAATGCTGTTTAATTCCTGTCTTTATTACAGTCCATGCCTGAAACAACCAAAAGAAAAAATATAGTAAAACATGAAGACAACATGGACAGCTGTGTTTGATCATATTTTTAGCAATTCTAATTAGTCCACAACAAAAGGGGAGGAGAAATCCTGCTTAATTAAATTTGTGTAGGCATAATGGCTAATGACAATGTCAACAAAGCCATTAAAAGATCACAAACTGAGTGTGATGGTACTGCCTGTAATCCCAGCTACTTAGGAGGCTGAACCAGGAATATTATAATTTCAAGCCCAGCCTGGGCAACTTAAAAAGATCCTATCCCAAAATAAATTAAAAGGACTGGGGTGTAAGAATGCCCCTAGGTTCAATCTTTAGTACTGCCAAAAAAAAGAAAAAACAAAAACACACAACACTGTTGGGCTGTCAGGAGTATGATATACATCTACTCAACAGCTGGTTGAATGAATAAGATAATGGAAAACAGAGATAACGCAGATAGCTTTCATTCAATTTTCTGTTCTGGACATTTATCCTTTGGATTTGCAGTCATATTCAATAGTTATAAATCGCAAAATCTTATATGTGACAAAGACAGATTTGTGGGCATCTTTTTAAAAAGGTACTCATAAATCTTCCAACCTGTTCTTCTATCATTTCTTTCAACATCAATACAAAACACAGGAATTCTCTCCTTCTTCTCCTTCCTCTCTGAGGAAGGATCTTCAAAGAAGTCTACATATGGAATGCTAATTTTCCATGCAGCAAGGTTTCGGGGAGCATTAGGTGTGCTCACAGCTTCTACTGGAGAATCATCTTCCATCACAACAATTCCTTCTTCAATCTGGAAAAGCATTATCAGGATAAATTTAGTATTTTTAGCACCTTTAGAACTACAGCATAAGAGATACAACTGTAAAGTAATATGCCCATATTAATTTAGTAATTTGTAAGACTTAGCAAATTACATGATATAAAATTTTCTCCTGAAAAAGTAAAGATAAATAAAAAAAATTAAGTATTACTAATGTGAACTTCAGGTTTAGTTATGTCACCTGTATATGAAAATACACTAGAAACTAAAGAATAGACACTTTAGAGATTATAGTAAAATAATAAAAACAAGCAATATAAAAAATGTTCCACCTCGGCAATAAAAAATAAAAGTTAATGTACTGATATTTTTCATTGAGGAATATAAAATTTTATAAATGTCAACAGCCATTAATGGAGAGGATACAGATGACCTGAATCTGTTATATACTGCTGTTTTTAAGGAATATTAGCATAACCCTTCAGGAAGGTGTTTTATCAATACACGTTTATAAAGAGTCACAAAAATTTAATATTAAGTAAGGATATAGTGGGACAGAAACTGTGCCAGGTGTGGTGGTGCATGCCTGTAATCCTAGCACTTACGAGGCTGAGGAGGACTGCCATGAGTTCGAGGCCAGCCTGGGCTACATTGTGAGTCCAAGGCCAGCATGAACTACAGAATAAGACCCTGTATGAAAAAAATCCAAGAAACTATATATGTAATATTAGTCTAGTCTACAAGGGTAGGGAGGCAAGAAATTTTTAATAAAGAAAATCATCAAAATATTAGCAGAAGTGACCACTGAGTGGTAGGATTATCAATGGTACTTAAAAATCTTTCTTTTCTACATTATTAAAAAATTCAGTAATACATTGCTTGCCTAAAATGCATGAGACCCCTGCTTGAATTCCCAGCACCACAGAAAAAATAAACTGATATTGTATAATGTGCTTAAAATTAGAAAACATAGGCCAGGTGTGGCAGTGCAGGCATATGGTCCCAGCTAGTTGAAGGAATGAAGCAGGGGGATTCCAAGTTCAAGTCTAGCCTAGGCAACTTAGCAAGACCCTATTTCAAAATAACACACAAAGGACTAGGGATGTGGCCCAACACTCCCTGGATTCAATCCCCGTTCCAAAAAATAAATAGAAAACATAAATATTATTTTGAAAAAGATTCCTTTATCCCTTTGATCTATTTTTATTTTTATCTATACTTCTTATGGAAAACAAGGAAATAGGGGAAAATAATACATTTGGATTACTCCCCCTAAAGGCTTATTTAATATTTTCTTCCATTTAAATTACTACACAGAATTGGGGAACCTCATAAAAAGTCATCAGTGCAGCAGGATAGAGGCTGAAGGGAAGAGGTAAAAGGAAAAAAAGGAATTTGTCTACTTCACTTTCTTGTCATTCTCAATCCAATCACTACTATCTCTTAAACTTTCAGATAGCAAATTTCTTTTTTTTTTTAATTTAAATGAATTTTATTGGTACATTTTAGGTATACAATATCAGATAGCGAATTTCTTGATGACAAAGTCTATGCCTTAATCATCTTCTTATCCCTAGTGCCCTTGTCATTAACAGGCAAAATGAGAATCCAAGATCTTTGTTCCATAAAGAACTGGTACACAAGAGTTCCGTGTGAAGACCCTGGGTTCGATTCCCTGTACTGGGGAAAGAGAATAGAAGAGGGGAAGAGAGGAGAGGAGAGCTAAACCCTAATTTTGAAAAGAGGCCTGGGAATGTAGCTTAATGGTGGAGTGCTTATTTAGCAATTACGAGGTCCTGTGTAATTACCAGTACCAAGAATAAAAAAGTAGCTTTTAAACTTGCCTATCAGATTAAATATTCTACTGAATTATTTTACTTATGTAAATTTTATCATATTAATATATTCCCTCCAATAATCTGGAGTTGGTGAAGCACTGAGCAACATCTTTGGCCCTTTAAAAGAAAAAAAGAATGGCTACACAAAAAAAGGTATAAAAGAGATAATACCTACCTCTATGGGACTCACCTAGACATATAATTAAACATAATTATAAACATAATTTCAAACACTATATGGTATACACTTTAACATATAATAGAGGCACAAAGGAATAAAGAATGAAATTCTGTCATGGAATTACAGCAACACGGATGGAACTGGAGAATATATGTTAAGAGAAATAAGCTAGGCACAGAAAGACAAATATACATGTTCTCACTCAAATGTGGAAGCTAAAAAGTTGATCTCAAAATAGAGAACAGATTATTGGTTACTACAGCCTAGGAAGGCTGTAGTGATGGGAGGGATAGAAGGAGGATGGTTAATGCTGGTAGGTTCAGAGGAGCAACTGGATACGAAAAGTAACTTCTAATGTTCTCTAGCACAGATGAATGACTATGGTTGATGATAATTATTTCAAAATAGCCTGTAGAGAGGATTTTAAATGTTTCCAACACAAATAAATGATAAATGTCATTATCCTGCTCTGATCATTATACATTGTATAAATGGACTGCAATGTCACACTGTAACTCATAAATACGTACAATAACTGTTTCAATTAAAAATATAGATTGGCAACCCATTTAGGACCCCTCCTATCTCTCAGGAGCTATTCTTATTCTCCAATAAATTTTCCTACTCTTAACCTCCAAAAATAATAAATTAAAAACATAAAATATATTTAAGATGAATGGATAAAGAAAATGTAATATTTATACACAAGGAAGTACTATTCTGCCATAAAGAAGGATAAGTCATTTATAAGTCATTTATAAGAAAATGGTTACACCTTGAGACCATAATGTTAAGAGAAATAAATCAAGACACATAAGTTTAAATATCAGTTTTTCTCCTATGAGAAACCTAAAATATAAATAAAGAGCAAAATAAATAAAACTTGCAAATGGGAAGGGGACTAATAGAGGGAGTAGGGCAGAAGAAAGGGGAAAATAAAGAATTAAGATGTGTTATCTACATGTACCAATTCCATACAATGAATGTAATCATGTACTACAAGCATACACCTTAAACATTAAGGTTAGGGTTGCGCACGTCTGTAATCTCAGCACTTGAGAGGCTGCACCAGGAGGATCACTCCAAGTTCGAAGCCAGCCTGAGCTACATAGTGAGTTCAAGGAGCTCCATCGTCCTGAGCGCCAAGCATGCTGAATACCCTGAAGCACGGGAAGGTAGTTGGCATCCCCTAAGGATGGATAAATTCGTCATTCAAAAGCCTAGAATCCAGAATAGCCCACAGAAGAAAAATCCTGGAGGAAAGATTTACACGCATGCCACAGTTGAATCTCTGAAGTGAAGCTCTGCCGGTCCCAGCACCCGGAAGGAAGCTCCACCACCGCCATCCCAGGCTCCTAGGGCAGTGAAGCTCAGCTGGTCCCAG